GTCTCAAAACTTTGGCTAGTCTGATAGCCTTGGATAGTCTCATAGCCTTGATAGTCAAGATGTTGTCTCTTAAATAACCAACATTTAGCAGGTATTTATGAGTCTTGTGAAACATTAATAAGCTTAAAATGAAAGCTTATTTTGTTCAGGGCCAACTTTCACAAAGCGATCATAGCGCTAAGATGATTGTAACTCCCATACTTTAACATCGCGCTACGACTATTGTAAGCCTAAGATTGCTTTGTGCAAGTGGGCCCAGGTCAATAAAAACACTACTCCTCGTTGTTGAACCAGACACACTATGATTGTACCAGACACACTATGATTGTACCAGACACACTATGATTGTACCAGACACACTATGATTGTACAAGACACACTATGATTGTACAAGACACACTATGATTGTACCAGACACACTATGATTGTACCAGACACACTATGATTGTACCAGATTGTACCAGACACACTATGATTGTACCAGACACACTATGATTGTACCAGACACACTATGATTGTACCAGACACACTATGATTGTACCAGATTGTACCAGACACACTATGATTGTACCAGACACACTATGATTGTACCAGACACACTATGATTGTACCAGACACACTATGATTGTACCAGATTGTACCAGACACACTATGATTGTACCAGACACACTATGATTGTACCAGACACACTATGATTGTACCAGACACACTATGATTGTACCAGACACACTATGATTGTACCAGACACACTATGCTTGTACCAGATAGTACCAGACACACTATGATTGTACCAGACACACTATGCTTGTACCAGACACACTATGATTTTACCGGACACGCTATGATTGTACCAGACACACTATGATTTTACCAGACACACTATGATTGTACCAGACACACTATGATTTTACGAGACACACTATGATTGTACCAGACACACTATGATTGTACCAAACACACTATGATTGTACCAGATTGTACCAGACACACCATGATTGTACCAGACACACTATGATTTTACCGGACACGCTATGATTGTACCAGACACACTATGATTTTACCAGACACACTATGATTGTACCAGACACACTATGATTGTACCAGACACACTATGATTGTACCAGACACACTATGATTGTACCAGATTGTACCAGACACACTATGATTGTACCAGACACACTATGATTGTACCAGACACACTATGATTGTACAAGACACACTATGATTGTACCAGACACACTATGATTGTACCAGACACACTATGATTGTACCAGACACACTATGATTGTACCAGATTGTACCAGACACACTATGATTGTACCAGACACACTATGCTTGTACCAGACACACTATGATTGTACCAGACACACTATGATTGTACCAGACACACTATGATTGTACCAGACACACTATGATTGTACCAGATTGTACCAGACACACCATGATTGTACCAGACACACTATGATTTTACCGGACACGCTATGATTGTACCAGACACACTATGATTTTACCAGACACACTATGATTGTACCAGACACACTATGATTGTACCAGACACACTATGATTGTACCAGACACACTATGATTGTACCAGACACACTATGATTGTACCAGATTGTACCAGACACACTATGATTGTACCAGACACACTATGATTGTACCAGACACACTATGATTGTACCAGACACACTATGATTGTACCAGACACACTATGATTGTACCAGATTGTACCAGACACACTATGATTGTACCAGACACACTATGCTTGTACCAGACACACTATGATTGTACCAGACACACTATGATTGTACCAGACACACTATGATTGTACCAGATTGTACCAGACACACTATGATTGTACCAGACACACTATGATTGTACCAGACATACTATGATTGTACCAGACACACTATGATTGTACCAGACACACTGTGATTGTACCAGACACACTATGATTGTACCAGACACACTATGATTGTACCAGACACACTATGATTGTACCAGACACACTATGATTGTACCAGACACACTATGATTGTACCAGACACACTATGCTTGTACCAGATTGTACCAGACACACTATGATTGTACCAGACACACTATGCTTGTACCAGACACACTATGATTTTAACGGACACGCTATGATTGTACCAGACACACTATGATTCTACCAGACACACTATGATTGTACCAGACACACTATGATTTTACCAGACACACTATGATTGTACCAGACACACTATGATTGTACCAGACACACTATGATTTTACCAGACACACTATGATTGTACCAGATTGTACCAGACACACTATGATTGTACCAGACACACTATGATTTTACCGGACACGCTATGATTGTACCAGACACACTATGATTTTACCAGACACACTATGATTGTACCAGACACACTATGATTGTACCAGACACACTATGATTGTACCAGACATACTATGATTGTACCAGATTGTACCAGACACACTATGATTGTACCAGACACACTATGATTGTACCAGACACACTATGATTGTACCAGACACACTATGATTGCACCAGACACACTATGATTGTACCAGACACACTATGATTGTACCAGACACACTATGATTGTACCAGACACACTATGATTGTACCAGATTGTACCAGACACACTATGATTGTACCAGACACACTATGATTGTACCAGACACACTATGATTGTACCAGACACACTATGATTGTGTTTACGTGCATTGTTTTGTATCTTATCTGTCTATATCATTTGACCACTTTCTGAATCGCATTGTGAGTATACAGCCTTGTGGGAGCCGTGCCGATTTACACTTGTCAGAGGGAAACACGAAGTATGTGATCTAGACTACCAGTTGTTGGACTTGTTTTGTGGAGACCTCGTTGACCGAGTTGGTCAGATCGCTGTCTTTGCCTGCTGGCGATTAGGTGTCTCACTCTGGCAGGATGGGTTCGAATCCTGGATGGGGCGCCACCCCATAAAGCACTAGAATATGTACTTTACTCAGAAAGCGATATCCCAAATATACACAAAGAAAAATGTTAAGCACACCCTGATATATTTCATTATTGTTTGGTCCCAATATTTGTAACAGTCATGAAAGATATAATTACAGGAAGAATTATGTTTTCTCGAGATGATGTAATCAGTCATGCGTGACGAAATTCACGTGCCATGCATGGTATGCCCCTGCAGCATGCTACCCTCGAGTATCTCTAAAAGCAGTATATCTATACGTTAAAATTGCTTTCTAAAGTTCGGTTTTAAACAGTTATTCCATGACATTGTGTGATCATGACACGAAGGCGATTATCAAACGCCACAAGATGGCGAATAATCGGCATGCATAACGCAGGAATGTCTTGTAATGCCATTGGTCGGAATTTGGGTATCATCACACTGTCGTAAGCCGTTTTGTCGAGAAACATGCTCAGACCGGTGGTGTACAGGACCGTCCCAGACCCGGAAAACCTCCTGTGACGACACATCGCGAAGACAGGGACCTTCTTCGTCTCTTCCGTCGAGAAACCTTTTTAACAAGTACTCGTCTGAAACAGCTGTGGTTGCCCAATCGTCATTTCAGCACCAGAACCGCCAGGAACGACAGAGAGCAGCAGGACTGAGGGCTAGACGAGTCATAAAGCGTCCCATGTTGAGAGATCACCACAAAGCTGCTCGTTTAGCATGGTGTATTGCGCGACAGAACTGGAATCTGAGAACTTGGAGACGGATCCATTGATCAGACGAAAGTCGCTTTCTGCTCCACGTCACTGATGGAAGAACGAGAGTTTGGAGGCACCCTAACATGGCGGTAATGGTTTGGGGACATATCTCGCTTGATTGCAGGTTGGATTTGGTCACCATAAGGGGCAACTTAACAGGGGCTAAGTACATCCGGGACGTTTTGAGGCCAGTCGTCGTTCCTCCTTTTGACAACCACCCTCTTGCTACTCGCCCTCAATACATGGATGGCAATGTCAGGCCTCATCGCTCGCATGCAGTCGTGGAATACATGAGGGCCAATGCAATAACGACTCTACCCTGGCCAGCAATGAGCCCTTATATGAACCCCTTTGAACATGTTTGGGATATTCTGGGGCGGCGCATACAGGCAAGAGATCCTCCTGTACAAGATTTACGCCAATTGGAAGCAGCATTGCATCAGGAGTGGTTGTTGTCGACCCATCAATAGATCAAACGTCTGACTGGAGGCATGAGACGTAGGGTGGAATGCGTCATCCGGGCACGTGCCGGTTATACCCGCTACTGATCTGTTTCACGTGTCATGTCAAGTAGATACTTTAAGGAACATTTTCACATGAAACATCAAACGTAACTCGTTTACTTAATCAGGCAGCTCCATACTTTTTTTAGGCATTGTCTAAGGTCAAAAACAGTACCTGTGTTGCCATTATGTTTTTGTCAGTTAATTTCAATCACAACTCACCAATAGCTTCTTTATTTGTTGTTAAATGTTGGTTCTATCCGATTACATTGGTATCGCCCATGCCATGATGTTTGCCATTTGTCATGATTCAGAAACAGGGGTGTGCTTAACTTTTTTCTTTGTGTATATATCATTTGTTACATATGATGTTTCTTTGTTTGTTGTTTAACGCCACATTCAGCGATATTCCAGCTATATGACGGCGGTCTGTATATAATCGAGTATGGACCAGACAATCCAGTGATTAAGATCATGAGCATCGATACACGAAATAAGGATACGATGACATGCATCAACCAAGTCAGTGAGCCTGATCACCTGATCCCGTTAGTCGCCTCTTACGACAAGCATAGTCGCCTTTTACGGCAAGCATGGGTTGTTGAAGACCTATTCTACACCGGATCTTCACGGGCATGTTACATATGACCACTTTCCAAATGGCGTTGTGTGTTCATAGTATTTTATATGTAATCTACTTTGTCTGTCCCTTACTTTCTTCACATGGTGTTCTGTATATAGGTAAAGAAACAACGCATACCAGCATGGTATTTTAACTTGTTCTTTTACATTGGTTTTATTGCCCTGTGACATGTGAATATTACTTTCTGTAGCATCAAAGCTGAAAATACAATCAACGACTGTTATAATGAGTCTAAGGTCACAACAATTTGAGTACTTGTTCTTCGTATATCCTTTCCCATGACACAACGTTTAATGAGCTGAAAATGTTGAATGTATCTCTTGACAAAAGTTAAAGGCTGATCAACTTATAGCGTATCATTGATACGATATTGAACTGTATCATTAAAAAGGAAAATATAATTTGTCCTCAAGATATGCCCAAAACATGACATAACCTATACTGACCCCTTGGTCCATTCCCGTGGTTCTCCCGAAGTAACATTTTACTGACTTGCATTGCCTTGATCAAAGCTACAGCCAGTTCAATGGAAAAGAAGACATTCTTTCCACCAGAAAGATTTTTTAGGGCTTTCTTTTGCGTCAGTCAGTTTTTCAAAGTTGAATTTCTCGCAAACCCTTTCGTAATCAATTGCACTGGCCGCCATGTCGTTGATATCGTCAACCCAACATTGAGGCTGGTTTTATAATCGTTTTCTGAGTAGTATTCGAAATAAGCGCCCGTATTCCCGTACGCCCGTAGATCTTGTGTTGGACTCGTAGATCTTGTGTTGGACCCGTAGATCTTGTGTTGGACCCGTAGATCTTGTGTTGGACCCGTAGATCTTGTGTTGGACTTGTAGATCTTGTGTTGGACCCGTAGATCTTGTGTTTGACTCGTAGTTTCAAATTTGCATGGGTCCTTATTGCCTGCATGAAATGTATGTGTTGATTTATTTGTCACAGTAAGCTGCAGTATTTTGAAGCCGGGCCTAAAGAGCTTAGTTGGGTCCTGCAGCTTCTGAAGCTGGGTCCTGATGGGTGCCTGGCATTTTGTTTTTGTTTCAAACACTGATTATAAGTCATCCGTTAGACTGAGTAGCTCAGCAAAGCAAATTGGCTTATTAAAATCAATGGCAGGTAATCTGAGATAGTGAGAACCATTGGAATTGATCCTTGGGTTAGTGTAGGGTTACCGAAATGCGAGGCCTAGAGATACAGAGGATGCGTTTGAAGCAGTGACAAAAAGCTATCCGTTCTCTAACAGACATCCCAGAACAAATCACCACAAACCCAACCCCCACCCCTCCATCCTCCCATTATCACATGCGAGTCGTTATCTGTTAGTGATCACCATGTCAGACTTTGTTTGAGACACATCATTTGGAAACAGAAAGAAGACAATGGAGAGCAAAAGAATAAATAACCACTTTGTTGTGACATAACTTGGTTTCTAACACCTAAATGAAATTTGCTGGTTGGGGACAGTAAGTATGCTACTCAACCGCTGACTGGGACATCAAACTGATTACTTATAATATGAATATGTAAATGGCATGAAATATTCGATGTATCCCTATCAGTGGGTGAGTAGTGTACGGTGACACTGCTGGTTGGCACCAGGGTGGTTCAGTGTCTCGCCCTCATTGAAAGAGAGTGAAACAGATTCACAGGCTAAACATCTGCCGTGATGGAGTAGTGGTGGCTGCGTGACCATCACCTCAAGAACACGCTGCAGACCTCGCGTCATCACTGTGCCCATATGGGAGATGTCAGTCAATTAGTGCATGTGTTTGGCAAACCTCATGACAACTTGACTATCTCCTTGTAGGTCAGACAGAGAATGAAACAAGTCCGTGAAAATGCTAATACATTTGAATAGATCTAAAGGTAATATTCTACATTTTATATTTGAGGATGCTCAAACATGCCGTAAAAGCATCCTGCACAATCCAATCTGGTGCTCAATTCGGAGAATATTAAGAATATCATCTTATCCACGTTGGTAAATAAACTCTAGTCCTGGACTGTAGCAAATTCTACACACATATCTATCAGAAGATCACATACGTATCCTTGGAGTATGAAGAGGAAATGAAGTTTCTAATACAGTTGTCTCCCTTTACTACCTGGTGATTTCAAGATCACTATCTGGCAGGGATCCGAACTTTTGCGTTGCAATGTTACCATTTAAATCTACAAGATTCATTCTGCAGACAAACACAGTTGATAATATATGAATGATGTTGCATCTACTCTTCTCAATGTTACTGTGGACGTATCTTTATACGCTAGTGGCCTTTAAATTGTCTTGTGCCGTGTGATAAAGAGCGTACCTTGTCACCTATACGCCAACAACATTTCACAGGTGTGCCTTCTTCAACATCAACGTGTAGTTTTATTCTGTTTCTAGTATGTGCGCCTTGCCCAACAGTCAACAAGGTTTGTAGTCAAAGTAAAGAGAACCTCGAAGGGTGGGGCACCTTTAAGATGATGGTCCTGAACCAAAATGACTAGATCAAATAGGACCAATGAAACCAAAGAAGTGAAAATAATGTAAAAGGTATGGACGGAGGCATAGGAATGTGTGTGTGGAACGTCAGGTGGAAGAAAAACAATGATCTACTGGGCCATTATCCTAGAGATTTCTCCACTTCCCTAAGAAATGACACAGGCTCGTGACTTTTGAGCTCCCCTTGCTTTTGCCACAAACCTTGCTACCTGCAGGGCAGTCCCTATGGTTGTCTTGGCCTGGAACACATCCCCGTTAGCAGCTCCTCTGCCGTTAGCTGCTTTGTGTAACTGACGACTGGGCAGTGATTTGATTAATTCCTGACTGCTCTCCTCCCCGGGGTCTGCCAGTGTCAGGACAGTCAGACTCCCATCCACGGCACTGATAACAAGCCTGGAACCGGTGTCATCCCCTACCATACACTTAACGTCAGCAGACGCCTTGAAATTAGCCACCATCTTGCAATCCGACACTCTGAACACTCTGATTGTTCTCCGTCCTGAATGGTAGTAGATGATGTGTTTATCATTCTTTGTGAACATGACTTTGATTGAAAACACTCCCTCTGCTACTTTTGGGATCATGGTTTTCACGGTCTTTCCTGTCCGCACTTCAATGAGCTGTAAACCACCTCGGGGAGGAGCATACAGGCCAATCTTGCCGTTCTGAGTAGCACATCCGTTCCATCTGTTCACAGATCGAACCAGAGTCTTCTTCTTTAAGTCCAGGATGTTCCCCTTGTCAGGGTCAATCACTGCTATCTGGTTCTGATCATGGGGCATTGCCACTAGGTGGGAGTATTCAATGTAATTGTTATACTTCAACTGCAAATTGTACAGATGTGTTCCGGTTTTAGCATGGTATGCACCGACCACATCCCCACTCTTATCACTGGCTGGAACGGCTAGAAACAGCCCATCTTTAGTCAGGACGGGCTGTCTGTATTTCTTGACATTGTACTCGAACTTGTACACCTCCTCCGCCTCTGGAAGTGAGAAGCAAGAGCAAACTCCTTTTCCACCTGCGGATTTGGCAACTGCAATGACTCTCGTATCTTCCTCGTTCAGCTGTACCATCTGAACGTCGCCCAACTGAACCGTCTTAAAAGTCTTTTCCTTTTCAACATCCCAGAACACGAGGCTTCCTGATTCTGCAGAAATTATGTAGGCGCCATCTTCAGTACACACTGCATGAGTTACTATAGGACTTCTTGAATTGCTGGCAAATGTCTTTACCAGCCGACCAGTCTCAGTGCTCCACACTGCTACCACATTTCGTGTGGTCGTCACACAGATTCCAACCTTGGGACATAGATGTATTGTTTCAACGGGTCTTTCAAGCCGGTCGATGTTATGAACCTCTTCAAGGATCTTGTCGAAGTTCCATACCTTTATCGTTTTATCCATTGAAGATGAGATGACAACATTGCACCCAACATGAACAGCCGTCAAGGCAATGATTCGACCAAAATGAGCCTCTAGGGTTTTCACCATGTTACCCTGTTTCACATCCCATACATAAAGGTTCTTCCGTACTCCAGCAACGACAAACTGGTTCCCTTTGGTGAACACGACCATGCTTGTAAGCTGGTTCTTGGCCGGAATGTTTCTTGTTCCTGCAGGCAGTTTGAGTTCCCGGACCTTGTCGGTTTTAAGATCCCATAGCTTGTATCCCAGAGCCGATGTTGCTATCAGGTAGTTTTCTTCTTCTGTGAGGGTTAGGGCAAACACCTGGTCTGTGTTTTCTCCAAGAGTCCTGTCATACTTCCACACACTTTCCTCACGTTTGTAAACAGCAACAGCATTGTCGCTTATCTCAATGCAAGCGTAAAGGATCTGCTTGTCCGCAGTTATGGCTATTGCACTATGAAACTCAAATGGATCAATTGACCTATCCTGAACCTCCAGAGCCATGTCATGATCGTCTTCTGACCCACTTTTCAGGATCAAATAGTTCTTGTCATCATTGGCAAATATTACCTTAAGAAGCCTCATCTTCAACTCCGACTCAAACCGTCCAACAAGCTTTCCTTCAATGGTGTAGAGATGCCAGTGTCTCTGAATCCAGATTGCAATGTGAGTATTTGACACGGTAGTGCCATCAACAGTTTGTGTGTTGTCACTAGTGACTGGTGTGATGACGAAGAAGTCGCCAGTTTTGATGGAACATACAACAACTTGGTTGTTATTCGTGTGGCTGACAGCATACTTGTCATTGGGGGATATAGATATTGAGGACATGATCCCAGAAATCCCCACAGCGATGTTCCGGAACACGACTCCAGTGGAAAGATCCCAGATGATAATTTTGTTGGAAGCAGTGACAAGATATTTTGCATCTGATGTGACGGCTATTCCATAAGGTGCAAAGGCGTGTCCTTCCAGTAAGTATTGTAAAGGGCCACTTGGCGTCTGGAGACAGTGAAACGCAGGGACTAACGCGCAGTTTGGGAGTCCATCAGTGTCACACTGTTCAATCAGACTTCGGATCTTGGGGTTATGAGCGTAGTAAGGGAGGAGTCTCCCTGTAATCTGGGGGCCCAACATGCTTGGGTAATGGTTCAAGATGGAGCTAGACAGTCGTATGGCGTCGGCGATGAGTTTGACGTCTTTGTCGTACACATGCTCCAGAAGGTCCTCGAAGTCTGACAGAACGCTCTGAAGTGGCATGGAGCTCATTTTGGCGTGGAGCCAGTTGTAGTTGAACAGAACAGTTTCGTACAGATCATCATATCTGCAAATAAAGCGCAAACAATACATTAGCCCACAGATTCAGTATTTTCCTGTGGAATTCTCATAACCGTATGTCGAAATTCCGTTGCAAAATATATGTAGTGCCATATTAAAATCACTAAATATCTAATCTTTTGTATTCCATCAGTGTCCGCGTGTGTAGTGAGGATTTGCCATGACCAGTGTTAATATATAACTTTTACAATCAGTCATAATTTTCTCTCATTTTACGGAAAAAAGAACCCCAAGACAAAATTGCCAGTTTGTGTGTAACTGAAAAGACACAACAAAATTACAACAGTTACGAGAGTTCATTGGGCATATATTCAGTTATCTATATATATTTCAGTCCTAAAACACGCATTATCATGTGGAATAGGTGTCGGATATTGAACATACTGGTGGTTTTGAGTCACAGGGTATACTTCAGTGAAGCATTACCGTGGGGATTCTGGGTTAGAATTGTTCCGCGGCACATTGTGCCTATCTCAAGAGGCTAATAGAAAGATCGGACGATGGGTCAGACAGACTAGGTTTATAACGTGCCGTACCCGGACGACGTGGTACGTTGCTCATAATATCAATCATTGGTTTATCTGGTCGAGGCTGGAATATTTACAGGCCACCATCCAAAAGCTGGAATATTGCTGGGGGCACGGGTGGCCCAGTCGTCTAAGGCGCCGCGATTCGCTGTGCAGAGTTGCGTCCCTTCGGCACGCCAGAAACCTATGATTGTGGGTTCGAATCCCGGTTCGCCCCGATTATGTTTCTAGGTTTGTCAGCACCATACCCGTGCTCGTGGGTTTCACCGAAGTGGTAAACGTCTGAGACCTGCATCACTTCGGGCTTTCCTCCCACATTAAGCTGACACGCCGTGATATAACTGGAACACTGTTAAAAGCGGCGTTAAACCTAACTCACTCACTCACTCACTGGAATATTGCTACCAATGGAATTAAACAACAAACAAGTGTATAGAGATCAAGCGTTACAAGAAGCATCAGTAAAATGCTAAAAATATGCTCACGCAAAAATGACAAATATTATGGCGAGAGATTTGTAAACACGTATATACTGTGTTTTCTTTTGTATATTTTATCATTTGGTTTATGTCTTTTTGTAACTCGGCTGATTGTGTGGGGTATAGGGAGTTGCTCATGGCGAGAGATTTGTAAACACGTATATACTGTGTTTTCTTTTGTATATTTTATCATTTGGTTTATGTCTTTTTGAAACTCGGCTGATTGTGTGGGGTATAGGGAGTTGCTCATGCTATCAACCACTGGGTTGTCGGGCTATGGAGTATTACAGTGTGCCGTCGTACAGATAAATTTTGCTTACAGCGGCGTAAAAGAACATTCACTCACACGTTTCCTTTTGTCATCTTACCTGTGAGACCTGATGAGATGGAAAGGCAGTTCATTAAGTTTTCTGAGATTATATCTTGTCACCTGCCCTTCCTTATTGTAGAACACCAGCGGCTGCACCGGAACTTTCCTGTCGCTCTCGCCTTTCGTTTCATCCAGGAAGAACCTCTGTCTTTGTAACTCGGAATACTCGTACGGCTTCGGGCGCCCCCCACCCCACGTCCCCAGGAAATAGTCCGCCATCTCGGAATGCATTGCACTTACAAAGTTGAGGTTCTTGAAATACCTCTCTCTCGCAGCGTCAATGAATTGGCGATGGTACCAAAATATAACATTGACACCATCGGCCTCCCGTTCGCTGAGATAGCCCGGCAAGTCGCCTCTGATACGGGTCCAGAGAAGAGGTGGTATGCGTCGTACTGGAGGAAGGTGGTACTGGTAGACGTCGTTGAGAACCTTGTCGTCCAGGGACAACATGTCCTCCAGTTCCGCCTCTGAGAGTCCACTCTTGGACGCCGTGATGTACCCTAGAGCATGTGACACTAAGGTCTTTCCATGCTGATTCTCAATCTTCTCGTACAGCTTCATGATGCTTTCGTGAATAGAACTACAGAGACTTGTAAGTTTTGGACTTGTGTAGCTCTTCCATCGGCAGATTTCATCAAACACAAGCTTGACGAACAGAGGTAGATTGCACTTTGTAATTGCCTCATTGACGATGCCCCACTGGCTCTCGGTGACGGTTCTGTTGATGGTTTTCAACCAAGCCTTCAGAATCGTGCTGCTGAGATTCTCGCCCAGCGGCAGCACGGGCACAAAGTTGTCCTTGTCCTCAATGATGATCTTGAGGGTATCCAGGAGGTTGTAATAATTGGGAAGGGTGGAAACGATGATTTTGACATGAGGAGGGAGGAGTGCCGGCAACCAGGTTAGCGTGTGGGCGCCGTAAGACCCTGATAACTGGTCGAGCGAGTCGAGGAACAGGACAATAGGTTTGTTCTCTGGAGTCAAGGACAACAACTTCTTAAAGTGATGGCCAAGGGGAGCTAACTCTTCAGGGATTTCGTCCAGTGGTTCCCCGAGGAGGTAGGCGACCTGGTTACACAGGCTGCTGAGGAGGGGCACGATGGTGGAACTGCCGGGGGTGGTTCCAAGGAACCGGAGGATCATAATGGGGGACTTGTCTTCTGAGAACCAGCTCTTTACCTGCAACACAACTTGAAATATATACTAAAGGACAAGAATATCAGGATAGACATTACCGTGAACATTACGACGACGTTTTAACATGGTGTGCTATTGAATTATCTGGTCCATGCTCGATTACTTACAGGCCGCCGTCATATAGCTGGAATATTGCTGCGTGCGGCGTCAAACAACAAACAAACTTCTTCTTCTTCTTCTTGGGTTGTGAACTGAATTGTGATCGCAGTATCATCCTGCTCAACCTGTAGTATCTAAATGACTTTGTAAGTATATGAATGCTACTCTTTGTCGTCATGTAGCTGTAATTTTTGCGGCGTTAAACAATAAACAAACATCTGTTGGTCCACCGCCTATACAGAAAATTATGTCTACGAATCGAGTCACCTTACGCCAATGAGGCACCAGTGATTAATCTCCTGAAAAAGGAAGTTTTTTTACTTTAAACAATCCGGGGTCAACATCTTTCCTTTTTCAAATTATCATCCCAAAACATGGGTATAGGTATTTTCCCCCCTTGTTTAAGACTGTTTAATCTATAGCCTACCTCAAAACGATTCACATTGTTGGCATCGCATAAGGACAATACACATAGCAGGATGATGATAAGGATGTTCCGATTCGCCAAAATATCAATGCATTGATAATATTCGCAGACGATTCGATACTCGATACACACTTAACTTTATTGATTCATATTTTAATCCTGTATCGATTCCTATATTTGACCCCGTATCGTTTGACACAGGGAATATTTAAAAACAGCAATGTTTTTTCTAAATGGTATTGACCATAAAATATTCATTGAAATCACGTATCGTATTGTGAACAAAGTATCGCGATACGTATCTGTTGTATCGGGAGGGTGAGTTGGGGGTGAGGGTTGTTGTCGTATCGTCAAAACAGCTCAACCCCAATATGAAAGACCCGTGAAGATCCGGGGTAGAATAGGTCTTCAGCAACCAATGCTTGCCGTAAAAGGCGACTTTGCTTGTCGAAAGAGGCGACTAACGGGGTCGAGTGGTCAGGCTCGCTGACTTGGTTGATGCATGTCATCGTAATCCAACTGTGTGGATCGATGCTCATGATATCAATCACTGGATTGTCTGGTCCATACTCTATTATTTACATATATAGCTGGACTATTGCTGAGTGCGGCGTTAAATCACAAACAAACAAAAGATAAACAAAACAACGCCATAAAAAGTTCATCTTTTTTATATCTGTTTAAATAACGATTAATCCTTGCGGAAATCTTTTAGTCAGCAATATTCAAGCTACAAGAAGGTGGCCGGATCAGACAAACCGTTCAACCAACTCACCGACACCACAACGAGTCACTCCTCATAACAACACGCTATAGAGTGATGGGGACCTGCAAGCCTCGATCTGAACACCTACCTGGCTGGCCCCCTTCGCCATGAGGGAGGTCTTGCCACACCCACTCTCCCCGCACAGCACCAGCGGCATGTTGGACGGCCCGACGACGTACTGGTGAATCCGCTCCACGACTTCCTCCCGACCGCGGAACACCGAGCAGAACATCCGGCATGCATGCATGTGCTCGAAAACAGAACAACTGAATGTGAGCAGAACCTGGATATGTTGGATAGTTTGTTGAAGAAAAGACTAAAAACAATTTTGGCTCCGGTTTGGTATGATAGCTGGACATGCTAGATGCCCCTGTTGGTTTGAAACGGCGTGTCTAGTTTCTAGTATCTAGTTGGTTTTGAACTAGTTCCCTTGATGTTTGGAGAATGTATGTATATGTCAGATGGCATAAGTTTGTTACCTCAAGTAACAAGAAATATACAAAGACAATTTACATGGACATGTCCTTCTTGTGAATCACTGTACGAACTGTCGGGCAAAAAAAGGTTTACACTTGAAAATTGGATTTGATCAAAACCAAACAAACGTTATGAAAACGTTATTTGGCTCAAACAGTCGCCGAAATACAGCACGGTTGAAGTCCAAAATCCAACTGTACCCGTATCAAATACATGACTATCGATTAACATAGACATTTCTTGGTTGATTTACTTTCAGCCGCAATCAAACATGGATGTGTGTACATGTCTACGCCAGAGAATAACCAGTCTCGATTATGCAGCGAAGCATATTTCATTGAGTGTAAAGGCAAAATAGTGGTGAAAATGACATCGATGGGTAGCCCATGGAATGATTCGTACTAAGCTTTCGGCGTGAGGAGCGAACCACAGGAGGTACCCGCCGCCCTTTAGGCATTTAGAGTTGAAACTCATCCGTTTTGCTGTATACCAATATTCGGACTTTTGTCAATTTACATGTGACAACAAGAGCTCGAGGTGAGGTGAGGTGAAATGGGGTTAAACGTCGCGTCCAAGATGATTGCACTTATATAGCGACGTGCATGCACGTGTGTGTGTGGCTGCTTGTACTAGTCCGGACTGATGCCGATTTATAGTGCTAGCTCTCTGAGATACCATGCCGCAGTTTAACATGAATACCCCACTCAGACACAGTATACTGTCTCCGAGCCGACCAGTCCTTGTTTTAGCCCCTTAATGCCGAGCGCCAGACAGGGTAACAACAAGTACCATCTATTAACGTCTTTTGTTATGACGCGGCCGGGGATCGAACCGCGGACCTTCCGCTCTCCGGGCGGATGCTCTACCATTAGGCCACGGAGGCGGTCTGTGACAACAAGAGTACCCTGGACCTGCCGTATGAGAGGACGGCCCTTTATCCATCTCACCTGTAACGATTCAGTGTAGATGACATCTCCAGCTAGCCTCTCATGCTTGGACATGGCATTGTCCACGAGTCGGATGATGTTCTGATGGAAATGATCAATAAACTGTTCAAAGTAGTCCTTGTGGGTTTCACTGTCGATGCCATCCTTCCCACTCCACTCCACTACGAAGCGGGCGATGTTGGACGCCGAGAGGACTTTGGGGATCTTCTCGTCCCGGAGGATCTTCAGGAACTTCTGGGCCTCGCCGTCAACGTTGCGGGAGGCAAAGTCGACGAACTTGCCGGCGATCCGGAGGAGAGTAGTGTTGATGTTGGAGATGTCGCGGACGTACGCGAGGCAGTGTTCTTCTACGTCTCTTGCCTTGAGGATGCCCCGCTCGATCTCTCGCTCAGTCACTGGAACAGGGACAAGTTGCTGTTGTCAACATTTAAGTCTGTCACAGTTGTCACCTCAGACATGACAGCTGGCATAAACTTCATTTTTTGTTGTGACGGATAAGTTATGCCCCTTTTGAAAATATATTTTATGTAGGCTTCAATAATTTCGATTTTCATACAAGACTTTTTACTTGGCCACAAGGTCCACTTGCACAAAGCGATCTTAGCGCTAAGATGATCGTAACTCCCATACTTTAGCATAGGCTTACACTAGTCGCAGCGCTAAGATCGCCTTGTGCATGTGGGCCATGGAGTCATGCGTTATGTGGTATATTATGAACTCTTGAGAATATTGTTTCTCAGGAGTGAGTGAGTGAGTTTGCTTTAACGCCGGTTTGATTAGTATTACAGTTATATCAAGGCGTGTCAGCAGGATCGAAGTGATGCAGGTCTCAGACGTTTACCACTTCGGTGAAACCCTTTAGCATGGTTATAGAGTTGACAAACATAAAAACAATCAAAATCAGGATGAATCAAGCTGGGATTCGAACCCACAAACATGAGATCTTGGCATGGCCAAGGGACGTAACTCTGCGCAGCGATATTGATTTTGTGTTGAGAGTTACCGGACATGAAGTAGTTGTGCATCTGTTCCCGGTCAATCTTCTTGGTGATAAACAGCACCTGGGCTGCCTTCCTGATGATCCGTTGTAGTTTGCCGAACGTCTCCCACCACGTCGACTGATCCTGCTCCTGTAGTCGGGGATGTCGCTACACATAGAACACGTGGACGTTCATTTAGTCGATGGTATCCTGTATACAGTGACATCGGGTGTCCGGCCAGTACCGTTGAAAGAGGTATCATATTTACCTTTCTAAAGGGCACTTCATGGGACTGCTCACGATGGTAATTGTTCGGGGACTAACGGGACTAACGAAAACTAACGGGACAGGGAGGAACTAGGAGAGACTAACGGGGTCTAGCGGAAAGTAACGGAGGTTAACGGGGTCCAGGTGGAGACTAGCGGCGATTAACGGGATTTAGCGGACCCCAACGGGGACTAGCGGACCCTGACGATGTCTAGCGGATACCTACGTTCACGGAGACAAACGAAACTAGCGGAGAGTAACGGTATCTACCGAGGTTTCGGTATGTTTGTTTGTGTGTTGTTTAACGCCGCAATTTAGTGAGTGAGTGAGTATGGTTTTACGCCGCTTTTAGCAATATTCAAGCAATATCACGGCGGGAGACGCAATTTAGAATACGATTATATGCATCAACCATGTCAGCGAGCCTGGCCATCCAATCCCGTTAGCCGCCTCTTACGACAAGCATAATCGCATTTTACGGCAAGCATGGGTTGCTGAAGACCTATTCTACCCCTATCTTCACGGGAGACCGGCATTCGTTACCACTCGCCCCTTTCCGTAACCTGCAAGAAGACTCGTCCCCTATCGATGAATGCTATGTGCGAAAATACGACAAACCAATCAGAATGCGAGTATGATTTCAAGTTCTTCGTCAATGAATCCCTCAGAAATAATTTCTGATTTTACATATGTCTTGCATCTAAAAATATACCAAAGACACAGTTACATGTGTTCAATCATACTGTATAATTCCGCATGTCCCGATGTGCTTTAAATTGCATCTGAAATATATATAATATATGGGGAAAATGTGTGAATTATTTCGCAACGAGTTGACAATTGTTTTAGGTATGCCCGTTTGCGCTAAGACGGAACCCGGTCGCAAAAATGGCCACGAGAGGGGCACGAATCGCTAATCGGCTTGTCCCGGAATAACACGAGTTGGTCACGAATGGGGTGACCGGGGTTACGGAGACCTTCGGGACAGGACTGCCAGGTCCTCACCAACAGATCCGTTGCCACAATTTAGAAAAAGGTATTGAATTAATATTAACATTTACATGTTTGGAAAAGTTTGTTTTTCTTCTGTAATAATAAATTCCAGTTATACAGACACATTCAACAGTGATTCATATAGGAAGGGAAGTAACTCTTTCACAAAGGTAATCGACATGTTTGTGAGTGATATAACACATGTAACATTGAGGTGTTTGCATGGAACTGACTGGATACCTTGTTGTTGAAGTTTGTAAGGATGGAGCTGATTGGCTGAAGTATATACACGGGAGGCACGGAGTTCTCGTCCACCTTGTACCATGTGTCAAACAACTCCAGCTCGCTTTGCACGTTTTTTGCCACCTCCCGCAATATGAGAAATTCGCTCGCCGGAATGTGAGTCGGCAGGGGGCGGTACCCATACTTCTGGCCCAGAAACACCTGCAGCATAAGAAACCCAGAATACATTTTATTGGAAATGGCGTGATATACTGAGTGAGTGTTTATTGGCAAAACAAGGGTAGATACAGTAAATAATTGATCTTTGACAGATAAACAGGTGGTTGACAGCATGAGCATGTTTGTTTGTTGTTTAACGCCGCACTCGGAAATATTCAAGCTGTATGACGGCTTTCGTAACAAATCGATTGATTGACACCATGAGCATCGATCTACGCACGATACGATGACATACAGTAACCACGTCAGCGAGGCTGACCACCCGATCCCGTTAGTCGCTTCTTACGGCAAGCATAGTCACCTTTAACGGCAAGATTAAATTTGTTATTACCCTGTCTGGTGCTCGGCAGTAAGGGGCTAAAACAAGGACTGGTCGGCTCGGAGTCAGTATTAGGGCTGGGATGAGTCCAAATTTACTATCCGGGTACCCATCCCCCTGTTACCCAACCCAACCCGGGTACCCACTGTAGGTCTCAGGAGATGTCCCAAAATGTCCGATTGGGAACATTTTTAGTGTAGCCCTGGCAAAATGTATTTAGATACATGTATTTAACAATCTGGTCGTTCATACACCGAAGTTGAATTAAGTTTATTCAAACATATGAAAAATCAGAAAATATGGGTGCATAGTCAGAATGAAATGCGAACATTACTGACTTGTAGTGTAACCATAGAGTTCAAGATAATTTTTGTCATTAAACTAAATATCACGTGACTAACCAGGGGTCCGGTTAGTCGTGTGGGTACCCGGGTCCTACTCAGTACCCACCAGACCCGGGTACCCGATCGCGAGTTACCCGTCCCAGCCCTAGTCAGTATACTGTGTCTGAGTGGGGTATTCATGTTAAACTGCAGCATGGTATCTCAGTACAAGCAGCCACACGCACACACACGTGCATGCACGTCGCTAAATAAGTGTACTAATCTAGGATGTGATGTTAAACACCAGGACATTAATGACACCATGTCAACGTAAACACCAGGAGGTTATGTACAATACGTCAAAGTTAATACCAAAACTCCTTGGACAATACGTCAAAGTTAATACCAGGAAGCTGTGGACAATACGTCAAAGTTAATACCAAGACTCCTTGGACAATACGTCAAAGTAAATACCAAGACTCCTTGGACAATACGTCAAAGTTAATACCAAGACTCCTTGGACAATGCGTCAAAGTAAATACCAAGACTCCTTGGACAATACGTCAAAGTTAATACCAAGACTCCTTGGACAATGCGTCAAAGTAAATACCAAAACTCCTTGGACAATGCGTCAAAGTAAATACCAAAACTCCTTGGACAATGCGTCAGCGTAAACACCAGGAAGCTGTGGACAATACGTCAACTTAAACACCAGGAAGCTATGGACAATACGTCAAGGAAATACCAAGACGCTGTGGACAATACGTCATCGTCAACACCAGGAAGCTATGGACCATACGTCAGCGTCAACACCAGGAAGCTATGGACAATACGTCAAAGTAAATACCAGGAAGCTATGGACAATACGTCAGCGTAAACACCAGGAAGCTATGGACAATACGTCAAGGAAAATACCAAGACGCTGTGGACAATACGTCAATGTAAACACCAAGACGCTATGGACAATACGTCAAAGTAAACACCAGGAAGCTGTGGACAATACGTCAATGTAAACACCAGGAAGCTATGGACAATACGTCAATGTAAACACCAAGACGCTATGGACAATACGTCAAAGTAAATACCAGGAAGCTATGGACAATACGTCAGCGTAAACACCAGGAAGCTATGGACAATACGTCAAGGAAAATACCAAGACGCTGTGGACAATACGTCAATGTAAACACCAGGAAGCTATGGACAATACGTCAATGTAAACACCAGGAAGCTATGGACAATACGTCAATTTAAACACCAAGACGCTATGGACAATACGACAAAGTAAATACCAGGAAGCTATGGACAATACGTCAGCGTCAACACCAAGACGCTGTGGACAACACGTCAAAGTAAACACCAGGAAGCTATGGACAATACGTCAATGTTAACACCAGGAAGCTATGGACAATGCCTCAACGTAAACACCAAGACGCTGTGGACAATATGTCGACGTAAACACCAGGAAGCTATGGACATTTCGTTTATGTAACCGATTTCTACTCAAACAGGAACATGTGCAGGGTCGTGTCATGAAAGCGCGATCGTTAACGTTCATATCAATGCGGCATTTCTGTTGGGTGTTTGGTTGCCACCGACGCACGGGCGAGGAGACGAAGTCAAGCACAGTAATACAGTGTTCGTGACAAATGGACATCCATTCTGTCGGTCACAGATGCCATGGGTTGAGCTGTCATTGTGTCAGTTTCATTTATGTTCCGGACCTACGCATCGCACAGGGCTTGTAACAAAACAACCCTAGGGGAAGACGGGGCAGACATGGCGCACAGTGTATCATTGCCCCTCGGAGTCATCAAAACAAGAGACCAGTTCGAACATCGGACCCCCAGTGGGGGATTAGAGTTAGTTGTTGTTTGTATGTTTGTTGTTTCACGCGGCACTCAGCAATATTCCAGCTATATGACGTCAGTCTGTAAATAATCGAGTCTGGACCAGACAATCCAACATTGATCCACACAATTAGGACACGAAGACATGCATCAACCAAGTCAGCGAGCCTGACCACCCGATCTCATTAGTCGCCTCTAACGACAAGCATTGTCGCCTCTTACGACAAGCATGGGTTGCTGAAGGCCTATACGTCCCCGGATCTTCACGTGTCTTCCGAGTTAGAACAGGTCCACTGCAACCTCTGCAGGTCATAAGAGGCAACATTATGGTAGCCAGGGACTGTGACGTAATTGATGACATGTCACCGTATCCCAGTAGCGTGGATCACTGGATTGTCTTGTTCAGATCACCGTCATATGCCGGGACTACCCGTATTTAGGCCCATGCGGAATGACGCTCTGGACTTAAAAACTGAAAATATTTCCGTATTTACGCCCATGGGCTTAAATTCGAATACTCATTTTGGAGTGATCTTTCTCACATTAACCCCATTCGAACGTTAATACTTTGCTATGCACTTCTGCACATGGCAAATATAACTGTACATTCAGAAATGTGCAAGTTCAAGTTTTGCATTTCTGTTCAAATGTAAAACCCATGTATTATATTTTCTCAGTTAAAACAACTTTTCTTCTGCAAAGATTTCCCCGACATTTATAAGAAAGCGTAAGCTTCCGAAATTGAGCCCTGATTTCAATTTCGCCTAAATTTAAATGAGAAAGTGCTATTTTCCGTACTTAGGCCCGGGGCTTAAATACGGGAAGTCCCGGTAGCTGGAATACTGCTGAGTGCAGCGCTAAACATCAAACTAACAATGACTGTGACTGTTGATTGTGCAATCACATCCTCACAATTGTTTCTGATACAATCAGCCACTGGCCCCCCCCCTAGATTATTTACAGGTCATGTGGGATGCAGGAATACGTGGTATGTCGTGCTGCGTCACAGAACAACATTCATTCATTGAGGAAACCATAAAACTGTTACACACAACGAGGGCCATGCTCCGTCTACACACATCCACAATGCCGACCGTAATCAAATACAAATATGTCCCCTCATAAATAACGCTGGCCATGACAAGCCTTCTCTTGTTTGTAAGTCCATATTCATATCATGAAGATGTCAATCAATAACGCTGAAACAAGTATTCACTTCTGTTGGACTGTTTTAAGAGACTTTATCAAATACGGTTAATTGCCTTGCGGGAGAGCGAGATGTGATTGACAAATGATCGACCAACACTCTCCCACCCCCCGGAGATGCATCTAGGCATCTGCACTTTCGTTATTGCGGTCGACCAGTCACTCTCTGGTCATGCTCCAATGGTTCTGCCCCTGTACAGTTCGAATACCATTCACGGCTAGTTTACACATACTGAAGTCAAGTGAACTAACTTAAAAGTGTTGCTGCGCGTTTGATCACGTTTCACTAAAAGCCAATTTCGTTGTTCATAACAACTAATTACTTATTGATTTCCTAATAAGGGCAGTGGCAGAGCTGAACGAAAGCGACATAAGCCGATCGTAAGTTTTGTCCACGACTTGTGACTTTGGAGCACAATCAGGGAATAAACGTCTCATTAACGGAGCCGGCCTAGTAAGCCCTTATGGAACAATGAACTACCGTGTACCTGAAAGCTCTGTTTTGTTTGTTCACTCTGTGTGGAATTTTGACTGGTATAGATCAATATAGACCGATATTTTAAGAGTTCGTGATCGCTTGTAATCGCATGTGGTGCGTGTCCGGCGTTATGTTTTGTCCCTCGTGGGATTCCGGTCAAGGAGCCCGTGTTCGTCTACTACACTGATTACAGTTAGTTACCTGGCTATTTGATAATCATATTGTGGGGCGGATTGTTCCTTGTCCCATTGATCACTGGTTTGTCTTTACTCGTTCTCGTTCAAGACTATTGTTTTGTGTGTGTTTGTTTGTTGTTGTGACGGCGGTCTGTAAAAAAACGAGTCTGGACCTACAATCAAATGATTGACATCATGAGCATCGAGAGCATCGGGATACGATGATACGCATCAACCAAGTCAGCGAGCCTGACCACCCGATCCTGTTAGTCGCCTCTTACGACAAGCATTGTCGTCTTTAACGCAAGGATTGGTTGCTGAAGACCTATTCTAACCCGGATCTTCACGGGTCTCAAGAATGTTGATATTGCTGGGATATTTCAATTAACTCTAGAACTGATATAGATCATAATTTTTGTGTTGTTTACAGGTAGAGAACGACTTGAATCCAGTTTGCCAGGACTGCTAATTAACCCGAGACAAGTCCCCCTTGTCGGAAGCGCCGGAAGATCATATTCGTCCCCCGTGCTTACCACGAAACTCGGGCCCATAGACAGTCTCTGGCAGTTGTCAATTTCTTGCATACACAGCTCGGTGGTCATGTGGTCATCTGTGGCCTCGTCACGGACACCCCATCTCATGTCCACCACCTGCAACACAAAACACATAAAAACTAGGTTACTTAAATAAATATAAAACCTCAACGCCGGAAAATACCAAACCCGATTATCCAACGAAAAAGATACCAATTTGTAAAAGGCATAATAGCCGTGATAGATATATGACTGGATCACTGAATTACAGTGATGACACCAGGAGTTCGCGAAAACACCCTTAATTATAAGTTGGCGTGTTGAGTAACATCGTCCGGAGTACCGGATCCTGGCTATACAGTAAATTCCCAATGAAGAAACGGTAAAAACGTGCGGTCCCACGTATTTAAACACATCTGTGACTTCATCCTATTGTTTGAACGCTCCATTATTTTTCAGGAATGGAGAGTTGCTTGTCAACTGTACATTATCTTGAAGCAGCATTTGAATTTTTCAAATATTTTCAACTACAGAATATTTTGTCAAAGTGTAAAAGTAGGGATGAGTTTTAAGTAGGGGAATATCCTCGTAACTCTCCATTCCCTACGGGGCCTCTGCTCCATTATTTTTAAGGAATGGAGAGTTACTCGGACATTCCCCTCTACGTAATAGCCCGGTAGGTGGGACGGCCGGGTGAACGTTGTTTGGATTGACGAGGTTTCACTTTCCATTTCCAAGTGGTTTAAGGCGCAAGAATTCAAGAAACTGGTTTTGTTTGTTTGTTGTTTGGCGTTGCACTCAGCAATATCCCAGCTATATGACGGCGGTCTGTAAATAATCGAGTCTGGGCCAGACATTCCAGTAATTGACATCATGAGCATCGATCCATGTTATTCGGATGCGATGACATGCATCAACCAAGTCAGTGAGCCTGACCACCAGATCCCGTTAGTCGCCTTTTACGACAAGCATAGTCGTCTGTTACGGCAAGCATGGGTTGTTGAAGACCTATTTTTCCCCGGATCCAGACGGGTCACCACCATCAGTGGTATGGGAGTTACGACAGAGTGCGACTGATTCATTTTCTAACCTGTAGGGGAAATCAAACTGTGGCCAGCATGTAGTCAATGTTCTCCAAGAACCTGGACTGTTGTACTCTATGACCGTATAGAAAATCAGTTTGTGGCCATGTCCCACCCTTAAATCTGAGACAAATGGCTTCCCAGGACCTCTGCCACACATATAATGTACACGTCATGTACACGGCCATTGTGCTCCCCTCCTTGTCCATATGTTTCTTTATAGACATGAATTGGAATAGAATTGGACTTGAAAAGTCAACATGGGAATTAGTTAAGACAATTCAATTAAGCTTCAGTTATATCGGTGATCTGATAGCATTCCACAATGGTCAAAAAACTAATTCCATTCCACTGATTGACGACTCTTCCTTAAACGTGGTTTGATCATTGTTACAATATTCAAAGCCTCAGAACAGATGTGGTTGTTTTTGGTAGATATTTGGAGCATCGGTGATCAAAGTCATATTGTACCATATATGTTCCCGAGGTTGTTCAAGTGACACTTCTTGTTCCCTGGCGTGTGTTTGGGATGGCAGGAAACACATTTTGCGAACACCTGGTGTCATCACTGTTTTATAGTTATTCATAAACTCATGTTTCATGTACACCGGACTCTTGTGATAATGGATTAGGTTTCGTCACTCTTATTATAAGGCAAAGACTCGGCGTCAGTCGTGAGAACACTACCGATAACGTTAAAGACATTCTAAATGATTTCTATAATTTGGCAATTCAAAAACGCAAAAACAAAAACTACGATTTGTTGCTATTAGAGCAGCGATAAACGCCATTAGGTGACGGTGAAACACAATCTATAAGGTCAACCCGTTGTAGCTTTACGATACCCATTTAGTGGGGGCAAGAGGCTACCCCGAATACCTACCAGACACCCAACATTATACACATGCCTTTGTGTTTGCCAACCACACTAAGTCCAAGGTATTCTGATAAGTAACCGTTGATCTTTATAAATATACTTTGGTAAAATGTCGAGGTTTATAACAACACATACAGGTTTTTAGTTTTAATCACTACGACAAGGAGAGGTGGCGTCCACCATACACACAGATTAAGTCAAATATTTCCGCAGTTCGCATTAACCGTTAGATAACGGGTATTTGTCTTGACAGGCGTAGCGAAGACAGTTGTTACGGGGAAATCACCTGGAATTAACTTGGAGTGACACACCCCAGACATGAAGTGGAAGCTACTTACAAAATATCACCACATGTTTCAAGATCATTCAGGATCGGGGAATGAGTGTGTTTGACGCAATATTGAATCTATGTTTCGGCGGCCTGTAAGTGATCGAATCTTGGCCAGGCAAAACAGTGGTGCCTTAGGTTTGGTGCCTCCCAACCTGTTGACTGACATTAGGAGAGTACCCGGGTTTGCAACCAGGAATACAGCCCTTCTGACAATGCAGAAGCCAACAGTGTTGGCCATGGGGAGTCTTCAAATTCTCCGAAACGTTCTGGGTGGGTTCGACCAGGCAGCACTTCCTGGGAGAAGTCCTATTTGATGTCTGGGCTGCGTGTAGAGGGGGCAAGGGCCCTGAGCTGATGATGAGCCTAACCAGCCTGGCTGTGCCAATATCACCAAAACCCTCTGTGCTGCATTTTTTTATTTTAATGATAATAATCATAATCATAATAATTCCCCATTAGGCCCGTGACTAAGATAGTGTGTCTGGGTGGTGGTGTGTGTGTGTAAATATTCTTGTGTATTTGAATATGCATGTATACGTAGCTGTCTGAAAAGTGAAAAATTGCATTAATTAAAAAATGCGTTTAGCGTTACCACGGAGACGCTTTGAAACGTTGACAGGTAGCCCCAGTTAACCACACTCACACCCAGCTTACACTTGAATGTATTAACTGACACAAAACGTAACATAGTCAACCTTGTCAGAACACTTCGTTTATAAACTGACAGCGGCCATGTGATGTCGAGACACGTGAATGAAACAGACGTGAATGGCATGCCTATAGGCTATTAAGGAATAAAAGAAATGCTTACGTGAGAAACTGACAGATCGAAACAAAACACACAACAGTAACAAGAGAAGTTTCAAACTCGATACAAACAATTTAATGTTTTAAACAAGATGGTTGGTTCGACCAAACTGAGAGCTCTCGTCACGCGAACGAAAGGAGATAAGAAACTGCCTAGGTGCATTTCAAAGGGAGGTAATGAGCACATTAATTGCCAATTTAGTTATTCATTGGTTAGTTCCGGTTCTCAAAGCGTTCTTGACAAGTGCGATAAATGCAGGGTTTACCAAGTCTTTGTTGGGTGCAAACTGACGTGTTTGATGTATGCATATACGAGGCAAGGGAACAAGGTTTGGTCGACATAATATGGCTTCAGTTTAACTGGCCAGAATAGCCCACGGGGATTGTTTGTTTGTTTGTTTTTTGTTTAACGCCGCACTCAGCAATATTACAACTTTATGACGGCGGTCTGTAAATAATCGAGTATGGACCAGACAATCCAGTGATTGACATCATGAGCATCTAGCCACACAATTGGGATACGATGACAGCGAGCCTGACCACCCGATCCCGTTAGTCGCCTCTCACGACAAGCATAGTCGCCATAGTCGCAACCCATGCTTGCCGAAGACCTATTCTACCCCGGATCTTCACGGGGCCCACGGGCAATGGATCTATTATGTAAGTGATAATGGTGTATTCTGTTGTCAGTGATGTCGTGGATGTACATCTAAGAGTTTAACGATCTGTCTGATTTACTTTGATCATTTCTTTATGGTGTCATTAATATTATAAGCACGAGGTACCGGGGCACGATTGCCCACTCGCTGGTGTCCGCAGTGCAGAGTTGCGCCCCCTGTGCGCTGGTATCGTGTGATCGAATTCAAGCTATTATGCGTCTTGGTGTGTAGTTACCACTAGTACTTTGAACATGTCTCACATGTCAAGCTGAAAAGCCTTGATATAACAACTACATTCCAAACCGGGGTTTAAACAAACTCACTCACACTTAAACATAATTATATTATCTTTAGCAATGCATGTGGCTAAAACAAAAAACAATTAAAAATCCTTCTCTTCTCACAAACAGGAAACTCCCGCAACAATTGGTACACGTGTACCAGGTACCACATACCCGACGTGAGTGTATGGGAATCAATTTTTTGTTGTTAAAACAACCTTAACGCTACGACTGTCGTAAGTCTGTGCTAAGGTATGGGTGTTACGATCACCTCAGTGCTAAGATCGCTTTGTACCACGGCGCCGAGGTGTATATACAAAGTGTGGCTTGCTGATTGTGTGACGGATATACCACCATGACAATATCCTGTAAACAACCGCCTACACTTACAGACAAGTACCCACGTGAAGATGCGGGGAAGAATAGTTCTTCAGCAACCCATGCTTGTCATAAAAGGCGTCTATGCTTGTCATAAAAGGCGACTAACGGGATCGGGTGGTCAGGCTCACCGACCTGGTTGATGCATGTCATCGTATCCAGTTGCGTTGATCGATGCTCATGAAGGCAATCACTGGATTGTCTGGTTGGGACTCGTTAATGTGTTGACCGCCATTAGCTGTAATATTGCTGAGTGCGGCGTTATACAACAAACAACAAACAACAAACAACAAACATACAAACCAAGAAGAGACATGTACACGCACAGATCGAATAACACACAGTTCCAGGAAGAAGTTCAACAAAAATAATTCTATTAAGGAACCTTCAGGAATTTTTCACTTTTCCTATTTTCAGGCTCGCGATGAGAGGGTGATGAGAATGAAAGGGGATGATTGGTTTATTAAATATTTGCTTAAATACATTTGAACCTCATTTCCGGACCTATTTCAACCGGAACCACGTGTTCCGGACGAATACCGCAAGGAACGCTAACACGCAGCGACATTACTTAGTAAGCATGGTAGGTTTATCTGGAAACTCGGTAATCGGGACATTGTCAATCATGGCAATTCACATGTAACACTACCGTCCGGATGAATGGGGTTCCACTGTACGTTTACATATACAGGGATACACAAC